CAATTGTTTACATTCTTCTTCTGGGGCTCTGCTTCCCAGAAGATGGACAAATGTGAAAGAAAAGATTTCTATGAAAAAATGTCTGCGACATCTTAACATTTATTTTGTGCTTTTAAAATGAGATATCCCAGAATTCCAGTTGTTGCACAGAATTTAGGGAATTGTATTAGATGTCACTAACACATCTGTAGGTTGGTGCAGTTCTTTGATATCAGGGTAATACAGAAACACGTTATGTCAGTGTTAGAATAAATCTGGTACTGCTGAAACGAGGCAGAAAGGGGAAGGGTGGCAAGGCCTGTGCCAAATCCCACACATCTGAGACTTGGAAATTGCCAGGGCTGGAGCAGGAGCAGTGTGGGGTTTGCTGCCCTGTGCAAGTCCCCCTGTGGTGCTGACAGTGCAGGAATTGTCCCCAGGTGCTGAGAGGGTGTCAGGAGGTGCCAGCCCAGAGCCCAGCTCCAGTGAGAGGTCCCTTGGTCTGCAGGAGTCGTCACCAGGAGACAGGGAAATGCTGAACTCTGAGAAAGGATCCTCTCCCACTAATTTCTGTCCACAAAACAAGAGTATGCAAAGCCTGGCTGTAACTGAATCCCCTGAGACAACAAAGTTGGCATTTGGGAGGAAAAGCTTCTCACCAGTTTTCTCAGCTGAAGCATCGTTGGTAAGAGCATTACCCTTTCTCTCGAGTTGTTTTAACTGAAATTGTTCCATTTGCCTGCCAACTGGTTTTTACTTCTTCTCTCAATAATGCTTGGGGTTTTTTGTTCATGTGCAGCTCAGCTTAACCACATATAAAACTGTCAGTGGCAAAAACTCCAAGGGAGCTGCAGCAGAAATCTGTAATAATAATGAAGATTCAAGTTTCCACTGTCACATTTCAGACACATTTTCTGTTAAAGGAAAGCTTCAGGATATCACTAAGCCTATCCCCAAGAATAAGGAAGAGGTATGTTCCTGAGTTCTTTGCTCTTCAGAAGAGAACTGCAGCTTTTTGCTTTATCAGCTTACAATGATGATGTTTAAGGGACATCTCCTTTCAATAATGATTTTTTCCCTCAAGGTGCAGCTCAGCTTAACAGCCTATAAAGCTGACAGTGGAAAACACACAAAGGGAGCTGTGCTGGAAACAGGGAATAACAGTGAGGATTCCAGTCCCCAGTCTTGCTTTTCAGACATTTCTGCTAAAGGCAAGCTCCAGGATGCCACCAAACCTCTCCCTAAGAGTAAAGAGGTGAGTGAGTGCATTCCTTGCTCTCCAGAATGGAGCTGCAGCTTTGCATCTCTGTCATCTCCTCTCCACGTGCTGAGGTTTAGGGGAAATGCATCTCAGAATTTAACACAGATTTTGGGACCTGCTAATAGTTAATTTTTAAATATTGGAGATCAATTAGATAATTGTTTATCATCTGGATACAGAGAAAGAATTATTGCCCAACAAGATCAGTTACAATACATATGTAAAAAAAATATAACAGGGAGTCAATATTTTCTTAGTGATTTCCAATAAAAAATAAATTATTTTTCACAACATAAATGTGAGTCTGTGATGGACACTTCTAAAAGCAATTTAACTTTGAAGCTAATAAATAAATCAATGACTTTTCTTTTAGGATTGTGTAGCACCATCCCCATTGTCTGCTTCCAGCAGGAGTACAGTACAGTCTTGGGTTAGAGAACCTTATTGCCCCATGAATGAGTCAGGTACAGACATTTAATTTAAAGAAAAAGACTTCCTATGTGTCTCCATAAGGGTTGAGAAAAACGTTTTATTTGGCATAAAAATATGGTCAAAGTTTTTAAATCTTCTTATAGTTTATATATTTTCAGTACTGTTCAATTTCTTACTCTTTTTCTCATTTTCTGTGTTGTTTTAATTATCACCAAAAAAACCTAAAAATCAGGCTCCAAAATGCAGCTTTAGTCAAGAGTTAGTTGTGCTCCAGATAAAAAGTTAGAGGTGCTCCTGCTGCTACTCTGGGGATAATGGTTTTATCAGAAAAAATCCCAGACTTGCTCATCAGTCAGAGTTCAGTTGAACAGCCCTCTATAAATGTACTGGTTATTAATTTCTATCCAATTCTCATGTTTTAAAGCCAAGATACATCCTCTTAGAGTTTGCATCCAATGTCAATAAAATCTTGTTTATCCTCCCATCTCATTGTGGTAAATAATGCTAAAATTCAGCTTTGTTTCCATGTTTATTGTAGGACCAAGCCTACCAACATTGCACAAACGAACTTACCCCAGTGCCACAGAGGGCAGCTCTGATGAGGCAGAAACAAGCAAAGAGGAGGAAAAGAAAGGAAGGAGAAGAATTAGTTTACAGCCCAAAAAATTATTTAAAACAGATGATGCTGCTACTTGCAGAGGTAGGTCATGGACTGACAGTGCCAAGTTTTAAAATAATGTGACAAATTCAAGTTTTAACAAGGAAATGGAATACCCATAAAAGGCATTTTACATGTTAAAGCAAAGAATAAAAAATGCTAAATATTTAGAGACTGGATCCATAGGAAAAGTCAGAAAATTGATATGCAAATAGAACCAGATTCTAATTGATGATATTACTTTATTTAGAACAAAAGCTGTCCTAACTTCAGACTGGGGACTTTATAATACTGAATTTGACTTTTTTTTTTTTGTTCTGTTCAGTGTCTGAAAGTGTCTCCACTCAATCTGCAAATGACCTGTCTGGTTTGGATGCAGAATTCTGGAAGCCTGATTGCTCAGCCATCAGCATCTGTCAGCAGCTCCAGAAGGAACTTGCCAAGAAAATTGAGGCAAGGCCCTTCACGTGCATCTCTGGGGGAGTACATGAGCACATGGGTGACACTTGGCTTGCACCACACCATCACAGTTTTAAAGGGGGCTTGTTGTGATATGAAGCAGTTACAGTACTGAATATTACAGTTTGGGGTTTTTTTTCTAAAGTGCAAATAATCTGAATTTGATGTTAAAACACCTTCTTAGAACCGCTCCAGGAAAATGGACAATTTTAATAAGCAAACACTGAGAGCTGCCCATCAGCATTTGGCCACCATGAGTTACCAACTCCATGAATGCAGGTCAGTAATGGCAGAATTCTGGTACAACATCCTTAAAGTGCAGTGAATGCCTTCTGCAAGTAACCTGGTTTGTTTTGGTAGGATCAGGCAGCTGGACAAATTTCATTTTACTCTCACTGAGGAGCTTGAGAAGTTTGAAAAGGACTCTCAGTCCCTGAAAATCATGGAAAAAGAATTCTCGGTTTGTATTTTAGTTGTTTGAATGTGGGTAAAAGGGAATTCTTTGGAATCTGTAGATGATTATTATAATCTTTAATTTAATATTATTAATGTTAATTTTCAAAGCTTGTACCTTTTTGTTTCTAGTTGGGTCAAATTTCAAATAATGCCTTTGGGATGTCAGGATGCTCTTGGGATGCCAAGGTCACTCTGCATTTTCCTGCATGAACTCCTGTGTGTTTTTCCTCCTACAATAAACTACAAGTGCTTTAATGTGTTTTTCCTCCTACAAGTGCTTTAATGGGCTGGGTGTTTCCAACTCCTGCCCCTTCTGTGTTCAGCCTGTGGTTGTCATTTCGTTCATATTAGAAATTAATGACTTTCAGTTTGGAAAATCACTTCCCATTGATTAATATCTCTCAATATTTTTCTTTCCAGACCTTTTGGAAAAAGCATTCCCACACTTTTAGTATGTACATGAAAAATGAGCAGCAGAGGTCAGTAGGGTTCACTAATCCTGAGATTTCTGTTCTGTTCACTTGAGGGAGGTTGGCACAACTTCTCTTCTCTCTGCAAGTCCTTCGGTAAAAGAGAGATGGTTGATGAGAAAATGAGATTAAAATGTTCATGTCATTATTCTCCAGTTAAATTTCTCCACCTAGCTGAGGGACTGTTCCAGCAGTAACAATGATGGGGATATTTATCCATGCTTTAAATGCAAATAGACTCCCAACAATGGGACGTATTTGTGCTCATTGTAGAAAGTTCTTATGTAGCAAAGCTGTTTAAACTGCCTTTATTTCTTTAGAATTCAGATTCTTAAAAGTTCATTTGAAAAGAATATCTACCATTCTGTTGACTGTGAAGAAAATGTTTTTACTTCAGAGGTATGGTGAACTTCTGTTTTGCTTATTGAAATAATTCCTCAGTTGCACCCACAGATACCAATATTGACTTTTTTCCTTGAAGATTTTATCCTCAGCATTATATTAATGATACATAATAATTTTTTTAGCTTTTGCCATAAAATGTCCCTTAATTTCACAATATTCAGTGTTTATGCCTGGATTTCATCCATGCAAGGTGTGTGCAGTTCTCAGGATTTATTCTGGATTCTGTGACTCTGTTTACTGGTGTTATTCATCCAAGAAAGAAAAAATTGAAAACATCCTTTTCCATAGGCAGGTGCATCTGCAACTCTTGCTTATGACACATTTAGGGAAATCACTGTTTGCTTGAAAATGTGGTGGCAGTTGTGAGCAGAGGAGATGCATTCAGTGTCTTTTTGTAGATGCATCTGCTGAAAGAAGACATAAAAGGACTCCAAGAGAAATTTCTAAAAGAAATGGTAAATAAATTTATCTTGTCCTCTTTTCTTTTTTTTTTTTTTTTGCAGTTTGAACACTAAATTACTAAAATTTTGATTTCTAGTCCCCTATAAAAATAAAAGTTAATCAGAATGCAAATGTCACTGACTTTATTTAAAACCTTACCTGAGGGATGGGAGCCACAGGGAGATGTGAATGGACTTGTTTAGTTCTGTCCTAATGCTGAAAAGTTCATCTTTGATAGACTAAGCAGCATGTACAGTGCACCAGGATTGCAATACATGGAATAAAATCTGCCTTTTTTCAAAAGCATGTGGTAAATACAGTGTAATAAAAGTGATAAATGTAATTTCTTTTTGTACAGCAAGAAGAGGAGCTGTGTAACGTTCGCAGGGGATTGCAGACCTTGTTTCAATCAAAGGCAGAATTCTGAAGTGATTTTTCAGATTCTTTCCTGAAATTCAAGGTGAATATAAACACTTTTGTAATGGAAAACATGGTAACTTTTTCTTTTTTTTGTCACACTCAAAGACACTACTGTAATGAAAGCATATTTTCCTTAATAATATTGAAATCTGTGTGGATAAGAACTTACCCACTCACCTGTGAGATTTGGAATTATTTTACTGAGTCTGCTAAAATGTAATATGCCATTTTATTTTTAGCAAATGCTACTTCTAAATACTTCTTTAACAATTTTTATAGGTTACTTAACTGACTTGCAGAGAAATCACTTTGAATTTCACTTTGAATCAATGTTTTGATCCAGAATACAAGCCAGGAATTATTTAGGGACCAAACCACCTGGTTTGATTTCAGTCCTGTTTGTCTGTGGTGTTAGACTTCAGCAGGATTTTCTGAGAGAACACTCTCAACACTTCTGTTGGAACTGTATTGCAAATAGTTCTATTAAACAAGAAAAACAGATGCTGTCTGTTGGGTTTTTTACTCATTATCATTGTTATTTTGCTTTAAATCAGTAAGAAATCAGATAAAGCTGCTGTGCAAATATTTTGGGTAAGAATTTTAAAGCCACAAGGCTGTTTTGTCTCTCTGGAAATAATTACACTGAAATTTCCAGTAAATTATTTGGTTCACTCATCCCATTTACATCAGTGTACAAATGTTTTCTGAGCTTCTGGTTTTTGTGTGGTTTGGGGTTTTTTTGGGCCTGTGCTCACTGTGATCTCCACTAGATGGACTCCTTGAGATGTTAAACTTTTCTTTCCACTGCTCTGATTGAATTTCATCTGAATGAAACAGGACTTGTCTCTGAACTGTACAAGGTTTAAAAGTGCACTCACTGCAAGGCCCAAATTCTTTCTTACAATGAGGCCACGTGGGAAAAATAAGAACTAAAAACTCAACTTGTTTTTAGTTATGGACAGGAGTTGTGCACTGCAGGCCTGTTTCCCTTTCCCACTGGGAGGAAGGACAGCCCCCCTGAGCAGAATGTGCCCTGTGAGGTGGGATCCCAAATTCCAGCAGGAATCCAGGGCAGCTCCCCAGAGCAGGCAGTGCTGAGGGCTCGGTGCCTCTGGAGCTGTCCCAGCCTGGGCCCCCCCAGGAGCATGGAGAGGATGGAGCCCCTCAGAGCCAGCCCAGGCTTCAGGTACAGCAGTGACACAGCTCAGGGGCACTGTTTGGCATTTAAACCTGCTCTAAGTTAGACTTGCTATAATTTTATTATGTTTTTCAACATAATTTCAATGTGTTTTGTATCATATTTCTTGGCAGTGGAAGTGTGCATCCCTGCTGAACAGGACATACTGTACATGGGTTATTAGCCAAGTTTAGTTTGTAGTTAACAGTGGCTCATCTCAAACTGAAAATGCTTCTTCTGCTGAAGAAACGTTGCTCTCCTTTCTCTTTAGCCTTTTTGTATATTGCACCTGGACTATCACTGTTTTCTTGTTAATTACTCCTGTATTATTAATAATAAAATTATAGATGTATGTTAAAAGGCTAGTTATGATGTTACATATTTCTGTGAAAAGCCAGCAAGTTCAAAAATTCCAATAAAGAGGAAAAAACACATCTTTGGATCAAGTGATGGGGTCATTCAGCTCAGTCAAGTGAGACAAACATTAAATGTTGGCACCAGCTCTGCCAGGAGTGCTGGGTTCCCTGTCCCAGTGCACTGACACAGACTCTGTGTGGCACTGGGTGTCCTTACCTTCCCTCCTGCCACTTTGTCCAGGAGCAGCTCCAGTTCCTGAGGTTCCATCCCCAGCTGGGACAGAGCTCTCACTCTGTGGGGCTCTTCCCCACCTCACAGCAAGTCACTAGTAGTCTATACAAGCACTTTGACAAACTGCATTTTATTATTGTCACACTTCATGGAGATCATCTCAATGAAGCTACAGGACCAAGAATGCCTTTTTCAAGTTTTTAACATTTCATGACTCCCTAGAATGGCAGCACTTCAGTCTTGTGAGTGGATTCACCATTTTTTCCTGTCTCTCCACACGTGATTCCCAGCTATCAATGTGTTATTTTTCTCACAATTATTTTTTAGTAGCATTGAGTAAATCCTCAGGTGCTTCTCCATGTCAGGAATTACTGAAATGTCTGGCTTTACATTTTTCTCAACCAGTTCTATTTGCTTTGTTATTAGCATTTAGTAACTTTTTTCTTCTTACTGTCAAGAAAGCATTAAAGCCATTTGTTTGCTAAACATCAAAGTACATTGTTATATTTCTGCCTCTGGTTGTCCAGTTTAGTAATTTGGAATAACAGTGAAGCAAATTGTCATTTTTAGAGTGTCAGAGCCTCAACTGGTGCAGTGACAACCAGTTTATGCTATTCCACCAGATGGAAAACCTTAGTTGAGATCATCCTTTTGCAGACCCTGTGTTGATGAAGAAGTCAAATGGTTTGGTGCATAATAATTATAATCTCTTCCCAATTATCCCTGGGAAAAAAAAGAGCTTTAGGAAACATGTTCATTTCCTGCAATAAGTAGTCATTTAATTAAAGAACAAAAGTAACAGGAATCAAAAATGCTTGCAGCTGTGATTCTGTTAGACAGTATATAAAAAAGAATGAAATTATAATACATTAAATTAGTTTTTAGAACATGAACTTAGGTGTTTTACAAACTAATTGTGGTAAGTTCAAAATGTCTTGTCAACGTAATACTGGATGACAGAGCGTCACGTCCATTTATGTCAGAGGCCTTGGAATGGTAAAGCCTGTACATGCACAACATCTCCTTTGCCAAGGCAGCCTGCACACCAGTTCCACCCAGCTGGGAAAGGAGAGGAGGAGGCTCTTCCAAGCAGCTTCACTTCAGTCTTTTCAGCAGCTTGTCCCACTCCTCAGGCCAGGCTCTTCTGCCTCGGAGCTCGGGGCTGGCGTCTGTCCCCAAGGGCTGCAGAGGCTCCACTGCAGAGTCCTTCTGTCACATCAACGTCCAGGGAGCCTGCACTGAACCTCAGGGAAAGGCTTCAGGGTTCCCTGATGTGTGCTCAGCAGCAATATCAAAAGGTAAAGACAGATTCTTCTCAGAAGAAAATTTCTATGGCCTGTGAAATCTAGGAGAAAAGAAAGACGTGTTTCAAACCGCTTTGCAATAGAATTCAATTATTTTTTATTCAATTATTTTATGTTAGATTAACAAAATTTTTAAAAGCCCACAGAAGGATTCATTCTGGTTAAAGGTACAGTGACAGTGCTGAAGAATATTAGCAACTCCTAATTCTCCCCAGCACATTGCCAGCCCTGTCCCAGGACTGCAGTGCAGGTACAGACCTCAGGGCCACTGTACCTCATTTACATTTCTTTGGGAATGCAATTGCAAATCCAGGTATGTAGTTGATGTGGATTTTGTTTTTTTAGTAAACAAAGCCACAGTTTGTCATTGGTAGCAATATTCACTGTGCACTGATCTTCTTTTTTAAGAGTTAAGCAATGGTGAAATGCTTTGTAAAGTATGAAGAAATACTGTTGGTGAAATGTTTGATAGTCTTAGGTTCTGGAATAATTTTTCTTCTTGCTCTGTAGGCTTGTTCTTTTGGCTGAGATCCATAATTAAAGCCCCAATCATATGTAATGCCCTAGCACTAATTGTAAATTGGAAGCTTGTTTACTCCTAATATCCTGAACAAATTTCAGAATCTCTCATTATCATCTGAGACTCCCCAGGTAGCTCCAATTAGGAAATGTGCAGCTCACTGCCAGGCTGAAACTGCAGCCACCCCTCTTCCCTTCCCACCTTCATTCCACCAGTGCAGTGAAGCTGCTCTGCCTTGACGATGCCTTTTTGCAAGTACCAGTGCCCGTGGAATCAGCCTCTCATATTGTTCCTCCTCTTAAGAAGGGAAATGAATGTTTTGATCTGGGTTTAAACAGAGCCCCTGGCACCTGTGCTGGCACTGCCCTGACCGGGTTCCCAGTGGAATTCCAATCACGTGGAGTGACACCAGCCCAGCCCTGTTCTCTCCTGACCTCCTCCTGACAGGGAGTGTCATTAAGTTACCTGGGGCTCCTTCCAATAGCAACTGCACTGACAGGGAATACAGAAATCCCCAGGCTGAATCTTTAGAACAAATCCAATTAGAACAAAGGCATTACCCCTGGGCACTGCCTGTTACGGTCAGTGCAGGTCTGTATTTCTGAGCAGGGAATTTTCAGTGTTTGTGATAAGGCTGGAGACTCAAGTACATTTATTATTATTATTACATTTATTATTAAACAGTGTATTATGTTGTTCTACTTTAAAAAATCATATTGTTTTCTGTGTTATATACTTTATTTTTTTTGTCCTATCTTTAAATCTTTGGTGCAAGGAATGCCAGCTGAGGGATGCTCTGGAGAATATCTGCAGGTTTCTTGGTATGTGCTAATAAAAGCCCCCAAAAATCAGAAAATTGAGTTCTCTTCAGGAAGAGAAATGCTCCAATTTTCTTTTAATATTAACCTTCCTTTGCATATTCTCCCACATCCAGCACATAAGAATGCAGTCTACAGGTTCAGGAGTCAAGGAGTCAGAGCTTTTAGCAGGCAGCAGAGATAAACAGCCGGAAAACTGACCTTGTCAAATGTTTGCTGGATGCATGAACCTCCATTTCATTGCTTTTGTATTCATTCAGCTCCTTCCGAATTGCTGCCTAGAAATTGAAAAGAGAAAAACATGAACAAATAATGTTGTGTTTGTGAGCAAAACCCCAGACCTGCAGAGCAGAGCAGTTTTCTGGGGTAGATAAACCAAGTATTGGGTATAGCAGAGAACTCTTGTGCTGGCAGAAATGCTGAATATTTGGGTTATATGGATTGGTGACACAATGCTTCTCATTTGTTATTGATTGCTGACAGGGTCACTGCTGTCTACAAGCAATTCTGACAGAATAACACCTCAGAGATGGCTGTCTCACATTTAATAAGATTCCAATTAAAATTTATTAAAGATTAGGAGAAGCTGCCAAGAAATTGATCCATTTTTCAGTCCCCAATGCAGAGGTGCAGCTCTGACCCTGAGTTCCTGATGTGTGCCACCAGTAGGAGCAGAACTGTCACTTTCTTTGAGCTGCCTTGTTAACTGAAACATGAGCTTTGACACAGTAAAACCAGGAAAAGTCTAATTGTAGTAAAGGTACAGTCAAGGAAAATATAAAATCCTTATTCTCTTGATGACTATGGAACAGTTTATTCACCATTTTAGAGAGCTTGGGAGAGCAGTTGCAGGAGTAGAAGTGCTCTGTTCCTTTTCTATGAATCCTCTAAACCCATTTGTCCCTTACTGGGGAGACACTGGGATGGAAACCAAAGTGTTTGAGGTCTCAGCACAAAGCCATGTTAACAGTGCTGTGTTTGCCATTTTCCAGTAACTGTCTCAGCATCCTGCTCCTGAAACTTCCCAATGTTCTTGCTGGAATCATGGTGAACTGTTCTTACTACTCAAGCCTCTAAATGTGACACTTAAATTGGGCTGTGAATCAGCCACGTGGCAGGTATGTGATGGGACAAAATGAGAGTTCATGCTCAGGAGAATGTGGGTCCTGTGCCTCCTTGAGCATTCACAGGAAACAGGAGAGGAGATTTTTGCATGTGTGGGACAAAACTTCCAGTCTGAGAATAAAGGTTAATACTCTATTGGCTGGAAATGGTTTTGATTTGGAGCCCAAATATTGTATCCACCTTTTTGGGTGGGTGGGTAGAAGCCTTTCGAGTACTAAAAAGACTTTTTTATGACTTTTGAGTGATTTCAACATAAAAAATCATTGTAAAGTTTACAGAGAGGAAATGTTGCAGAGGTTCAAGTCTGTTGGGAATGTGATGTATCATTACCAAGCAAGGAGAAAGCAGAACCTTGTGGTTTGTCAGTACCTTGTCTGCTGCTGACAGTCGTGTCCATGGTTTATCTGCTCTCCTGTCGTAGTCCTGTGCTTTTGCCACTTCCACATAATCACTGAATCGAATCAGGATCTTTCTGTCTCTCAGTTCATCAACTGTAGGTCTCTGGTTAAGCTGTATTCAGAAGTTTTGTGAAATAAAACCAGGGTTAGTAACAAGTGAGTCAGTAAAAAATGCAATATTTGCTTCTTTTCATCTTGGCTCAGTGTGCATCTACAAATATGGAAAATCACCCAACCCTTGGAAACTCCAGGGAAATATTTCACCATTTGGAGAACTGCTAGCAGAGTAATAATGGTTTAAATGGAGCTACAGCACAGTGCCTTTATCATGGACAAAAGAAGAAAATATCTTAACCCAGAGATTGATAAAGTATTTCAAAATGTAAAGGAATCATGATGGATTTGTTATGATCTCTGGATAATTCTGGATGCTGGAGGATGTTCTACTACAGGCAGAGGCAGATTGTCTGTGTGAGATTCTCAGCACTAGACCCTCTGTAAGAATTTCAGTCAAGCCTGAACAAGTTATCAGCATATTGGTCTGTAATTCCATTAGGGATTTCCAAGAACAGAACAACAAGATCTCATTCTTATGATGAGAATATTTTAAATGCAAAAAGAAATGTACTATGGGAGCAGACCTGGTGTTCAGCAAGGAGGCAGCTCTGCTACAAAGAGTGAAAAAGTCCTTTACCAGCAATGGAGCTGACAAATATGCCATAATACCCATTTTCTGAGTAAATTTATATGCAAATATTCTACTCAATTTCATCTAGCTGGGATAAGGTAGGTATGTCTATAATTGATATTGCCAGACACTGCTACCAGACACTGCTGAGGAGGATGCATATTAAGGGAGGTTCTGTGTAATAACAACCTCTATGGCTGGGTGATATTATAGTAATTTTGCTAAATTTCTAAAAGCTAATAGCAAGTATTGCAAGATTTTACCTTTCTTGTCAGTCTCTGCTTGATTTCCCTCCTCTCCTCCTGTTCCGTTTGATCATTTCGTTCTGCGGAGAATATAAAAAAGAAGATGACTTTCCTCATGAGGAAGTTTGGTGTTTTCCCAGGTCCCAGGCAATGACGAGCAGAGCCCAAAGAGCAGCTGGCAGTTGTTGTGTTTTGGAAATTCAGTGCATCTCTGGTGTGAGCTGGAGCACAGAGTCACCTCCCCGTGAGGACACCGTGCTGGTGCCAGTGCCAGCTCGGAACTCCACGGGGATTTAATGAAACAGCCACACCAACGCCGCACTCGCATCAGCTTCAGAAGGAAAATCAACACCCTCCATAGCTGATCAATCATCCTTTTTTACTCCCCATACTGCTGGAGCCATTCATGCTGTCAGAGGCTCAGCAGCTCCAGGGAGAGCCCGTTCTGCCCTCAGCCCTGTCCCTCAGGCTGCATCAGCCCTGGCGCTGGCTGGCACCTTGGCTGTCCCTGACCTGAGACCCCTTCCTCCTGCCAGGCTCCTGTGCAGAGCTCTAGCTCAGCCCCTGCCTTTGTGTGTTGTGCCTATTAACATTCCAGCCGTGAGAACTCCTACACACTGGCTCTAAAAATAGCCCGGAGTGCTGTAACAGTGAGAAATAGATCCCCTGCCTTAGGAAAGGAGTTAATGGCGTTTCTATTCCCAGTACTAGCTGTTACTAAATTAAGGCGTGAGCCCGTGACCTGAACAAAGCTGCAGAGCCAGAGAAAAAGGTTTAACCATTCAGGGATTCTCTGGGTACTACTCTGAGGTTTATTAAACCTCTTGCATTAGATATTTCCAGTTTTAAAGTACACACGTGATTTCTACTATGCCTCCAAAACCCACTAGCGCTGCAGATGGATTTCCAAGATATTTTTAACAATGAAGCATTTTTTCTCCCTGATTTTTGCGCTCATT